TGCGAAAGTTTTGAGTCATTAAACAAAAGTGGAATTGCTGCAAAAAATGGAAGGCATAAAAAAGGACAGAGAGGTGATTTGTTTTTCTAACCATTCCCGAAATCTGTTTATCAATTTCACGCTCTCTGCGGGGGGGGGGGGTCGTCGCGGCGCGCAATAACTGAAGTTGATCTGTCAAGCACTATCCTCATCTTCAGGGCAGTGTTTTTATTTTATTCAGCTTATATTCCTTATAAATGTAGTGTTCATCTCGATTGTACTCAAATGATTTAAAATTCCGTCATTATAAAATCATGAATACACATCAATAGTTTTTGGTTGCAATTTTCTAATTTCGCTATGCGAATGTATGCTTATGGATGCGCGCGTTTGAAAGAATGTTTAATAAAGTAAACAAATAATATTTTTTTTTTTGAAATTTTGATACCCTTTAGATCATAATTGTCTTTATTTCATAAATTCGGTTTCATATTTTTAATTTTATAATTTCTGCATGCATCTTACCAGATTTAAACTGATGATCTATAATCCGGAATCGCCGGAAGTCCCGACGAGTCCGGATTAAAGACTTCGCCTGTACAAAGTCAGTAAAGGTTTAACCCTCTGAGCTTTATGCAGGCTTATCTCCGGTCTAGATTTTTTGTCAGTTGTTTATTTAAATTATAATTATGTATTTTGCTTTCTTACTTTCTTTAATAATATAAATATCATCTTAATAAATGTAAGTTTATGAAAATGAGCCTAATGTAATTAAAGATACAAATTTAGCTAATAAAGTGTGTTTGAATACAGGTCTTCAAGACAGATCCAAAACCCCGTGCTGCTCAGAGGGTTAAATAAACATCTTATTTAAAAAGATCTTAGAACATAAAGCCATGTTCTTATGCTAGCAAAATCAACTACAACTTATCCAATCAAACAGGAACAAAGAGAAAACAAAGGGAAGATAAATATGCTAAGAAAAAGATTTTTAGTATCAGATGTAAAAGATTCAAATATTATGTTATCATTGTTCTTCCAAAAACTCTCCAATAAGTTCATTACAAACTTTCTGTGAACTACATCCATTACATGTTAATGCCATGAAGACATTTTTCTGGAATCTTCTAGATTCATGAGTCTATAAATCTTGCCTTCAAATCCTTCTAAAATTTCCAAGTTGCAATGTCTAAAATCCTAAAGAAAATCTACCGCTACCAATTCTGTAACAGCAAAAAGCCAGAAATATGCTGGGGGGGGGGAACAACAACAGGAAAATAGTGTCAAAATTCATTTTATACAGAACAGTAAATGTACAGAAAATCATTGTAGAAAATACAAGCGAATATTTTGAAACAAATTTTAAATTAAACCACATTGAAGGCAAATGAAATTTAAAAAATAAAATGTTTAAACATTTTATAAGCTTGCATGTAGCCATCAAGAGAAAAATAGGGTAACTTCTACACATTAGGACATATGAGAATGAATACATATTCACTTTCATTTTATTAACAAAACAATTTCAGCCCATCAGCTGTTTTCAGATTATGCATTCATCCCACATACAGTTTTAGTTTGAGACCATTGACATAAGAGATGAAATCAACTGAAATGGTAGATGGCCCTGCAATTAATTTGTTTCCTTTGTGCTTAAAGAGGGGGGGGGAGAGAGCCTGAGGTTTGAAGGCAAAATGTATTTGGAAAGAATGAATTATAGGCAAAGCACACAAGAATTTATCTGCCTAAGCTTCATCCTAATTGTAATCAAAGCCTGCTTCATATAGAATTTAAGCATTCCCACAAGCTCCCCTTGCCACTACCTTTTAAGAGGATTTTCAATTCATTAAATTTTACATGCCCTATATAAAAAAATACTACAGTTACAAATTTGCATGCCTCATTGGGACTTCAAACACAGACTCAACATCAGAGAAATGTATGAACTTGTACAACCCATAATATTGTAACAGGTGGTACTGTTGAGAAAGAAAATCACATAATTACTTTTGCTTGCTGTTTTAGAAAAGGTAGAAGAGGAAAATTAAGAGACTGGTGAAGTTCCAGTGTTTCAAGGATTAAGTACATGCTTCCAGATGAATCTCAGAGAAAAGCACAGATAACATCATAAATCTTGAACAAATGTCTAGAAATTTTTAATGGAAGACAAGTTTTGTCATTTTACTATAATGGGATATGCCGATTTTATATCACATTTCACATTCTTCCAGTATTTGAAGTCTCCAATTACATACTACTAGACAATTTTAGCTTAGCATTAAGATTATCGGTAAGGATACATTACTGTAAATCCCTAATGTGTACTTTTTTCATCAATGTGGAAATTAAGGATATACGACTCAGATTATGAAAACATACTGTCACAGTTTTTAATGATATGATAAAATGTGTAAGACAAGTTTTCTCATTTCTGGATAATGGAACATACCGATTTTATATCACATTTTACATTTTCCCAGTGCAGTACAAAGTCTGAGATCCGGACTCGTCCACAATTCCAGATAATTAGATCAGTTCAAATTTAGTAAGACGGCATATTGAAATTATAAAATTAAAAATATGAAATCGTGATTTATGAAATAATGAAGCATTTATGATCAAAATTATAAATGCTTCAAAAATTATATATATATATATATAAAAGAAAGAAAAAAAAAAAAAAAAGAGAGCTTAATATTTATTTGTTTATTTTATTAAACAGTTCCTTCAATGTAAGTTGTTTAAGTTGCTACGTTTTTTGTGCTAATACTTTCTCTTTAATTTTGTAGACAGACATAATTTCTTGTTCAGTTACATTGCTGAAGTCCTGCAATTGCTGTGTTGAGAATTCCGACTAATTTGCAATAGAAATTTTTTCATTTTCAGTAAAATGTCTGTCACTTTCTTCACTATCAGTAATGGTATTTTTTTGATCTAGAACCATACTACAGATTTTTGCCATTCATTAATTAACTGATGATTCAGGAGCATTGTCATCACAATGAAAACATTTTATATCATCTTCATTTATTACCGCTTCTCCACATTTCTCTAAAAAATCACTTTAATTGGAAAATTTCACCTTTGGTTTACGATATCCAAAAAGCTTTAATATTTGTGGCTAGCATCATAAAATTAGTTATCGTTCACTATACATATTTGGCTATGTATCATGAAATTGGCTACTAAAGACAAGTTGTTCTGCTAAATTTGATCTTGCTTCCATCGCGCTGAGACAATTAAACCTGAATTGTATTAGTTAAGTTATTTATTATACCTATGTCTATTTCTTGCACATGCTTAAGGCTTATCTTAGTCCTGAATAAATAAATTCCCACATATACTGAAAATTTACTGAGGGCTGGCACTAGATATCTTTCTGCCTGATACAGTCTCTGTGGGTCCTAAATTCTGCTACTAAGCGCCTCCTTTTCCCTAAATTCTGCCACCTGGTGCGGCCATATGAGCCCTGGTGTTGGTTCTGGGTTTATGTGAATAACAAATCAGTTATTCTTAATTCAAATAGCACTAAATGTAATCTTTTAACTTATGAGTATCATTAAGGAAATCTATTTTTAGCAAATGGAAAGAAATTTTTTTTGTTAAATTTTTCCTCATCAACAGTTTTTAATGCATTTAACTTAAATCTGTAATGATCACCAAGTGTAATGTTAACATAAAAGGTTACCATACTCTTTATTATTCAATTACTAACATGAAAAAATTGTTAGGCATCATTACATGAGTCATTACTGAAATTGTCATGTGTTGATAAATATGCGGTGATGAATGCAAAATATATTAAATAATGATTCGCAGATTGGGCGTCAGGGATATAAAATATTAGTAGGCGTAAAATCAATGATGTATCTAAGTAGAATGTTCTGGTTTGAGATGTGCACCTAGCAGATACAAATTGGAGCTAAATTCTCAATCATACAAATTTAAGCTAAAATGTTTGTTTCTTCAATAACGAGGTATTCTATTTAATCCCAAAGTGAAATTACGAATCGGGACTCTCCATGTGTTTTATTATGTATGGGGGAGGGAATCAAATGTGCAGTCACAGTTCTGAATGATATGATAAGATGTGCAAAATGTGTCTCCAGGAATCGCTACAAAAATGTTTTGCCAGAGCAGGAATTCCCATATCCAAAATTTATCTTTTTGTAGAAAGTGACATTGTCTAATAAGACTTATGAAATTGCCTGAATGAAGCAGAATTTAAAAAACACAATATTGAGAACTGGATCAGATAAAAATATGCAAAACCAAAGCTGTCACAACAAATAGTCATATGCCCTAGCTAAGTATCATTAAGAAAACTAAAAAGGAGAGTGAAAAAATGTGCAACACAGTATTGGAAAAAATCACACAGGAGTATCAATACTCCCTTTCTATTCAAAGACTCTTTAATGTGAAGTAATGTTTAGATGCATTTTATGAATTTTTTTAACCAATATTTGTGAACATAATGTACCTATCTAGAATGGAAGATTTTAATGTGGAAACCTTAAAAGATAAGATGAGAAGTTGCACTTCTAATTCCTATCAGATGGTATTCAAGAAGGGCCACTCACACATTTACAGTGCCCCTAGATGATTCCTCCCATCCCTTTGAGCTCAACTGTTGACAAAGAGATTTTAAAACAATATCTCACTAGTACAGAACTTTGGAAGGGCAGAAAAATTTTGGTCAAATCAGCTTTGTTGAAGCACTATATATACTTGGATAAATAAGTCCCGGAACACAGTAAGTTATATTAATGAACTACAAACAGATTTGATAGGAACAAGTTGGATATTTTGGTTCTGAAGAATATTTTTTTGCCAATCTGAGCTTTCAAATGGCAGAGATGAGTTTAATAAATAGCAGTTCTTCTAATGATTAATAATATTTGTTTTGTTCCTAGAAACTTGAATGTAATAAGCGGTTCATTCTAGTAATTGGGTGAGTTTAACAAGTGGCGAGTACTGTAATTTAAATTTAACATAGATTTCTATATAGACTGCCTTCTTACCTTAACTGTTTTATCTGATGATGCAGAAGCAATATATTTGTCATCATGTGATATATCACAGAATAATACATCTTGATTACCATGGCCTTCTGAAATACTAAATTTGAAATCTCCTTCGACAACATCCCAGACCTATAAAGATTTATATTTTAAACATGATCATCTTTTAATGAACTAAATCTGTAATAAGCAATTACGTTTCAATACATAACTTACTGAATAAATAAGTCCTAGCATAAAGAACATACAGTTTTGCCCTCATACCCACTGATTCAGTATATGCAATTTATAGCAGCTTCCCCAAAAAATACTAAAAAAGTAAAAGAAATGGATGACTTATAAATTACATAATACATTCCAAATAAAAATTAACCATATTATTGTGAAATGCAGCTGCTAAACAGTGCAATTCAGAGTAAAAGATAGCCCATTGTAAGTGGATATAAAGTACACTTAATTATTAATTAGTTTACTATAGATAATATCTAACCATGCACAATTAATCAATTAAACTTCGATTTCAAATATGATGATAAAACAAATTAAACGTGGATATGAGGGCATTACTGTTAAGGCTTAGGTATATAAGAGTAAATACACTACAAATGCCACACAGACTGAAATATGTTCTAAATAATGACTTAGTCTTGCACTGTGAATCACATATTAAATGCAGCACTAAATTTCATTTTCTGTTTCAACAGTGCATTAAATAAAATCTGATGTGTACACCACATGTAAAGAATATTAAATTATATGCATTTTTTTCTGCATTTCATTTTAACTTATTGAATTTAATTAAATCTTCAATAGCGCATAAACTATAACAGAATAAATGCACTCTTTAAAATTCACTATATTTATTTACCATAGTGATACTCTGGCGCTAGGTTCAATTAATAGTGTATGCACAAAAATTGTATCATCTGAAGAATTATCTAATTGTTGCCACATGTTTGATTCAAATATCATAACAAATAAATCTAAACAATGTATAAAAGAAACTAAACAAATAAAAAAAAGAAACAGTATTCACAGACGATTCAGCATCACTTACCTAATGCGCATGTGCTACTCGTAAACATTCTGCTCTGTACGAGACAGACCGGCGACAACATTTGATGCTAATACGATACATTTATTTCCTCGAATTTCATTAGAGATATCATTCTCATTCAATTAATGCAGTTCTCACTTTGCAACAAGGCAAAAATATATAAAAATTCAAAATATTTTCATTGAAAATTGAAAGATATAGAAAAACATAAAACACCAAATAGGGTTAAAATTATTTAAAAAACAATTTTTACAATTAATATTAGAGTTTCTGTGCAAAAAACAAGCAATTCTGCCAGCAGGCAAAAAGGCAGAATTTTCGGTGCACAAAACTAAAAGTTTCCTTTTGGTTCCACTCAGTAAAAAGACACTTGAATGTGCAGCAAGATTCCACTGTTCTGCTAAGTTTCAAATGTACACAAATATGGCTGTTATGTCAAGAAAAACTGTTCTGCTAAGTTTCAAATGTATTTTCCACTGTTCTGCTAAGTTTCAAATGTAAACAAATATGGCTGTTATGTCAAGAAAAACTAGGCTGAGCTGCACTTAAACAACTTCTAAATTGTTGATAATTTTACAACTACTGTGTGCAAATTAACTAAAGGCATAAAAACCTTAACCGGAAGATAAGAACAACATAATTCAATCATTTTTAAAGCAAAAAATTTTACCAACATATAAGAATAAAAAAAAAAATGATCTTCACAAAGCCAATAATATGGAGTATATATATATATATATATATATATATACTTTTGTGAGGCGATTGCACCGAAAATGGAGGTGCACAACTACATGTTAAGCAGTCCTATATACAAAATTTCAACGTTCTGAGGCTATTCATTTTTGAGTTATGCTAGATACATACATACGTACAGATGCTACGAAAAAAATGTCTTCCGAGTCCATTTTTAAATCAGTTTTATAATTTGCTTGGGGAAAAAGGCTTTTATTCTGTCCTTATGTACAGATGTCACTCAATAACATCGTTAAATTGCATTTAATAGCCGTCAAAATGGATATTTTTGTTGAAATATGATACCTGGAATTTTCCGTGATTATAATACTTCCTTTACTTTATACAAGGAAGTAAATAATAAAAAATGCCCATGTGCATAGTAAGGTAATGTAAAAAAAAAAAAAAAAAAAAACCCAGCAGTCAAATAACCATATTTCTTAATACAAAGGCTGTTCGCACATTTTTAAATGATTTTGCTTTGCTATAAAAACAGTTTGTATGTGAAGAAATTACTTTTTTCACTGCAAATGTATTTTTGAAAATATAAATTATCATCTTCTGCTTTACAGTTTTGTTTTATGCAAAATTCAAGAAGCAATGGATGGAAGGCTATGTTTGTGCTTTTTCCGAAGAAAATTATCATACCTAATTATTAAAATCCGCTGTGAAAGCCACAATTCTTCGATATCTACAACTATGATAGGTAATTTTGTCAACAAGAAAGAGAAAAATGTTAAAGTTTGGCTTTAAGCGGAAAAATTACTCCACATACATACTCAAGGAAAAAGCGGAATGTTTCCAATGTTGCAAAGGTAAGATATTTAATATTAAATAAAATCCGCCCAGTCAAAGAACAGTTGCAAAATCATTAAAATGCTCAGAGTTACTTGTAAACAAGGGTATTAAAACTAATGTGCATCTTAAAAAGGGAAGAAACATAATATGCATCATCATGATATCACTGAATGCAGAATTCTTTATGAAAAACATTTATCCAGACAAAAATGGAAAAAATGTTGTTACAATAGATGAATCTTTCATGTATTTAAATGACTGCAATAAAAAGAGGTTCATTTATTATCATCAAAAGAGAGGGAAAAAATTTAAATAATTCAAAGAATCTAAAGAAAGTTTTTCAAAGGTATTTATGATTGTTTCTGGTTTTTCATATAACGGTAAATTACAAATAAAGACAGAGCAGGAAAATATTAAGATCAACTTCACATATTATACACCCACAATGGCATCAATCAGTAAAGCTGCATCAAAACAAAGCAAGCAAACACAAGTCAAAATCCACTATCAATTTCCTGGAAAACATGGATTAAGAAATTGAGTATTAAGGTCATACTGTTCACTTATATCCCTATAAAATCTCCTGATGTATTTGGAAATTACGGTGTAGAAGGATAGTGAAGAATAAGAATTATCAAATAACATTTAAAAACAAATTTTTAGGTAAAATATTTCTGTAAATACAATGAAAATCATCTTGTGCAAATAGCCTCTGTTTTACATTACCACCACATAATTATAAGCTGTCTATGAGCAGAAATATGAGGAAGACCAGAAAACTGCTCAGGCGAGGATAAACAAAATACAAAGGGTAAACTTCTACTGTAACTATAAAGGACTTTAACAGCCAATCAGTGATATTCCAATATGCCAAGCTGAACAGAACGATTGATTGATTCAATGAAAGTTTCTTCCACTACTTCAGGGACAGTCTGCAGAGGAGGGAGACTATGTTAGAGAACTTTTTCAAAATTCTCCAAAAAGCCTATTACATTAGCTAATTTATAGTATTTTTTGAATTGTGGCCTTTTTAAAGTCCTCATGTATATTAATTCTTTTAGCAATGTTTCATGATTAGCTGGGCTGGTAATGAATTAAAATCATTCTCATTTTAATCAATGAAAAAGTCCTGCACAAAAAACAATACACAAAATGAATACAACTACAGAACAAATTACAATTATGCAATGGCTAATGGGAACTACAGAGGGTGTTTACACATTTTTAGAATCATTTTGGGACTGTTTAATTAATGTTTAAAATGTGAAGTGTATTTTTTTAAACATTCGATCTGAGACCTGATAACCTTTTTTTAGGGGGGCTATAAATCTGCATTTTGATTCCCTTCCATTAAACTTTCCCTAGTCTATCAATCATGGTGAATTGTGTTTAGAAAGAGTTCTTTTCAAGATACCAAAGTTCCATAGGTGAAGTGTTAGGAGACTTTGCAGGAATACATTGAAAAGGTATATATACAATAATTATTACTCTTTGAAAGTCCCTGGGCTAAAGAAATGGAATGTCTTCTGTAAATACTACGAGTAGATGTAAAACTTTCTCTTGATAGTATGTTGACTTGATTTTAACATTTTTTTCCATTCTTCTCATTTTTAATTCCCTATTATAAGAGAATTCTGTGACAATCATAAAGTCCTTACTAAAACTTTTTTTTGCATTGATGGAACCAAGTTTGTACATCTTTTTCATTATGTTTTTGATAATAAATAGACTTTTCTTTGTTGCAGTCATTTAGATAAAGCCACATTTCATCAAGGGCAACAACATATTTCCATTTATCTTATGCCTTTCATATAAGGTTCTACAAAAATGAGCCAACAAATGAGAAATGAGCCAACAAAAACGCTCAGAGTGTGTGGCAAAAGATGCTGAATATTGTTATTTAGATTTTTCAAGCTTTAAATGCTGTTTTATTATTTTATTTATTGTTGCTACCAAAATATTTACAGACTTTGCAATTGATTTCTCTCTCAGTGTATTTTCTTTTATTATTAAAGATTTAACTGTAACAACATTAGAAAAGTGCCTTTTTTAGGTATTCATCTGAAGTCTTCTTTCCATGATTGACAATTTTTTTCCCTGATAAATAATGTTGCTCTTATTTTGCACTTAGAAATACTACACATTTCACAAACTTTTCGAATTATGGAATAGGAATATTTGTCATCAGAAAGCACAAAAACATATACTTCAATCCACAGCTTGTTTACATTATAAGGTATTTTCTCCCTCATTCCAGCATGCCTTCATGGGGTAATGGTAGCACACTTGGTGCACATTCAAGAGGTCCAAGTTCGAGTCCTGGTGAGGGCATTGCACATCTTTCATGTCTCCTGCTTCTAAACAACCTAATGACCCTACAGTGGCACCCAAACTAAAAGGTGGTGGATGATGATTCTTCACCACCAGGATTTGGCGAATGGGTCCTCTAATCCCCAGTCATCCTTTAAAAAGAGGGGTATATAAGGTATTTTCACCCACATTCCAGGATGCCTTCGTGGTGTAAGGGTTAGCACATTGAGCA